TTTAATTGGTGCCGGCGGGGATCGAACCCGGGTCGCGTACTGTGAATTTTACATTTTGCGCTAACCATCTGAGCTACCACGGCTTAATCATATACACACACATAATATTTAAATATAATTTGTTAACACTAAATCATACACACGTAAGAAAATAACAGAAAGAAAAGTAAGTTTGTCAATAGAATAAACACTTACATCCATGGCCTTTGATGCGTTGAAGTAACACAAATGTAGTATTGATAGATCCACTGCGGTCAAACGACCATACACTAACTCCATGACTGCAGTTGCTTGGTCTTATATAGTACCAGTAAGTAATAATTCTAATCTAAAGAATTTCTGCAGTAGAATTGATAGTAACTTTATGCGTCAACAAGCTTATCTCACATTCTGTTGCTTATCTCAACATTCCTTCGTCCTTCCTGTCGTGTCTTGTTCAGTGTATTGATGACTCAAATACGTTTTGTATAACACAAAGAATGCAATTTAATATTTAGAAATCACTATAATTGATCATTCCTATATTAGTCATTGAGTAGATTGGTACTGTAATACTACTAATAGCAGTAATATTACGGATACACTAGATGTACAACAACATCTGAAAAAGATTTAACCACTCTAGAAAATAATGTTTATGCTGCTAATAAACTACCCATGTACACCCACGTACCAACGTATATAATATGCAATTTGGATACAGATGATAAACCATGGTCACATTGGGTAGCTTTATATATCGATACGAATGACGTCGGTCAATATTTTGATTCATTCGGACGGGTACCTGTACGATATCATCTAGAGTTTTTTAAAAGAAATTGTAAAAGATGGAACTGGAATGTTGATAGGATTCAGAATGAGTGGACTTCAGTTTGTGGCGAATATTGCTTAATGTATTTGCTATATAAGTTTCAGGGATGTTCAATGCATAGTTTTACGAGTATGTTTACAGGGAACACATTGTACAACGATAGTTTAGTGAATGAGATGTTTCGCTCCTATTTTATTGATAATAAGTAATAAGGTTTTGTATTTTGTAAATAAAAATTTTAACAAAATTAGGTAATGTGTTTTATTGATGAGTCAGATTAGTGTAGATAGGAACAAAGTAGAACAATAGCACCATGCTGAGGAAGAATAGATAATGACGGTATTCAATGAACAATAGACAAGTAGATAAGAACAATGGAGCGCTAATGACGGTGGAGGCCTTCACCGGATATCAATTAGATAAGAGTTAATTGATCTGAACATCTCCGAAACCGTGCATCCTACGCAAAAATGGATGCAGATTCGTGATCAGAGTATGCTAAAACCTTTTTTTTTTTAGGATCGTGAGTCGACGAACGTCGTAGTTGTACCACTTCTGACTCAGTGCGCCAGAACTGGTACAACGTAACTACTTGCGAATATCTTAAATATGGTGATGGTTTTGATTTTCCTGGTCAAGCTTTGAATATAATTCAATTTCAATTTTAATCACAGTTCTAATTTTTTTTAATTTATCTCGTTTTCGACGTGTTGTAAAGCTGGATCATACTTATATCTATAATTTTCGAGAAGGCAGGCAGAGTCCAAATAATAACAAACTAATCGAACCACGCAAGTCAAAAAAGAAGTGATGGGTTAATTGGCCCATTGCCACAATCACAAAACCAATAGAGCTCGAAAGAGTCCATTCTGCTTCAGTAGTTGTTGGTGTACTTTTGACCTACCAACATAGTATTTTAATTTCGTATAAATGTACAGCAAATGCACATATAAAATTGCAAGTACGAGTATATCAATCCCTTTGGAGTTAACGGAGACAATCGTTTTTGGGCCCACTAGAAATTTTAACGTAATTTAATTGTTTAACACAAAAAAGATACCAATTTAACTGCCTAAAAATTTTATGAAAGTCTAACTGGAATCATGAAAAAGATTAGTTGTTAATGTACTATGAAAAAAAATTAGTTTAATGAAGCGTTTTGCAGAATTTTTTAACAAAGATAACTTATTATATACATATATATTTGTATGTTATGTATTAATTACTAAAAAGAGATACCACTGAAAACTTAGTGTTTATTTCTATATCTAAAAGTATTAGCCAATGCTCGTATCATATAACAATATATGGATTTTAGGTTATAATGAGATTGCCGTTTGATTATTAATTTATCAGTATTTCCGTTGTAAAACTGATATTACTAATGTAATCTAGAAATTATAAGGAATAAATCAAAATGCATTTCATTAAGTCACGCCACAATTTGTGGTGGGATCATTCTGCATACAAAAAGAAATTGTCTCCTTTAGAGATGTATCTCGAGTACCTCATATAATTTTAAATTAACTGTAAATTAAGTTCTCGGTTGGCAGCCTCGTTTTAGCAGGCAGTGTTGAGTTATGCCTCATTAGATGGAGTGACGACGTGATGAAACAGGCATGGCTCACGAGCATACTTTGTGTCAAGCCCTAAACCTATGTTTTGCATTGAACTTATACGGTGATGATGATATGCTCTGATCTTTAAACTTTGATATGATATGATATAAATGAAATGAATAATGTAAATAGAGTGTTGACGGTGTAAGCGAATCATACCATCATATTATAATCCAGTGGGTATCTCAAGAGGCAGCAGAGAGTAACTGAAACAGGAGATAGTAAGGTTTCTGATAATAAGAAAAAACTGGCCAAGCACAACGTAGATGTAGGATCCCATAGATACCCGTCAATATATATATGTGTGTGTGTGGAAAATACGCGTAAATACCAGGGTGAAATATTCGAGGCCTATGGTACTTAACGTTGAATAATTGGCTTGTTACTCCGGTCACTAGTTACAACACTCAGATGTATTATAAAAGCAATCACTAGTTAAGTTTGCAATCATAGTTCAATTATTTATTGTACAACAAACATCACCATGTCAGCCTAATCTGGAAATTCTCATAATTTTGTTAAAATTCCTCTTAAAGAAGGGAAATGCACTAAAAGACATTTTTGAAGAAATGTCATTGGTTTTTCAGGATTCTGCACCTTCATATACGATAGTTAAAAAATGGGCCCACATATTTCAACAAGGACGTGAGAGCTGCGAAGACAACCCTCGCCCGGGCCGAAAAGTTAGGCAGATTACTGAAGAACTGCAAATTAGCAAAGAATGAGTTGGATAAATTTTAAATGAACATTTGAATAGGAGAATAATTAGAGCGCGGTGGTTACCGAAAATGCTCACACCGCTCAACAAGCAACATTGACTCGCAAGTTACAAAGATTTTTTGAAGCTAGTCGGCGATAACAAGGTAAACATTTGGCAACGAATAGTCACTGTAGATGAAACATGGAATCGCCACTATGATCCGGAGTTCAATCAATAGTCCATGCAATGGATAAAAAAAATAAAGACTGCCGAAGAAATTCAAGCTGAAAAAGTCGGCGTCCAAGCCAATGGTGACTGTTTTCTGGGATAGCGAGGGAATTTTGATTATCGACTACCTACCCAGGAGAACTGCGATGAATGGCCAATATTACGCCAATTTATTGACTCAGGTTCATGAGGCTATTGCACAGAAACGACGTGGGAAACTGACACGCGGAGTGCTCTCTATGTAAGACAATGCGCCCGTTCACACCACACATGTTGCAAGACAAGCCCTTAAAGACCGTTCTCAGAGATTGACCACCCTTCGTATAGCCTGAACCTAACACCTAGTGACTTTTTTCCTGTTTTTCAATTGAAAAAGGACTTAAGAGGAAAGTTGAAGATGGAATGAATTAGCTGCGGTTTATTGTCATTTTAGAGTTAAAAATGACAGAATGATATTTTTGGGTGGGTTAAAAGCCTTGTATGTGGGATGTGAAAAATGTATTAAACTTGAGGGATACTTTCGCATCTACATAGATTATATTGAAAAATAAAAAATAGAATCTATTTCTACCTATTTTTTATTTTTCAATATATGTACAAAAAAATAAAAAATAGAAATCATATATTTACTTTCATTAAGTAACTTAGGCCGCGGACTTATCAACCGCCCCTCGTAAATCTACTTTTATTTGTAATAATCCTAAATTGAATGGGATTTATGGGCAGCAACATTTTTGCCTACCGATCGACCCTCACCAATGTATGCGTGCGCAGTCAAAACAGTTAAAATAATGCATTACTACGATTTATACATTTAAAAGTTAAAAATGACAGAATGTTTAATATTTTTAATTGATTTTTCTTCACCATTTGTCTATATTACTTATTCTGAACTTTCTCTGCAAATTTTGCCGGTTATTACAAAATACAACATATAATAAAAGCTAAGTATTTCGCAACCGGTCTCCGAAATCAAAAAAGGCGGTTCCATACCCTCGATATTTACTATCCAACGACACGACGCGGGATAAAGACGATCCTTTATTTACTTATATGGGAGGTATCCAAAATAAAAATCTTTTTGATGATTTTATTTCGCAACCTTCTAGAGTTGATTAATATCTATAACTATGCCAAATTATATCTTTGAGCACCTAGGGTCTGTGAGTAAAACCGCAGTCGGACGGACATGGCGAAACTATATGGTTTCCTTGTTGTTCCGCTATGGAACCTTAAAAATCTGTGGTTGCCAATCGCCCTGCCAAGTGTGGCAGACATGCCTTTGTTTATCAGGGTACCAACAAAGTTGTACTGTTGATGTGAAGCAATTATTAATATTTTAATTAATTACATAATATTTAAATAAAATAAAAAATATAAAATGTTTTTGCACATTTACCTATAAATAATTTCAATGACTAAAAAACAAAGCCAACCCATTTTACCTATAAATATATTGGTAGCCGCCGTCCTTATCTGTCTGATAACGTTAAAAAAGTACGCCCGATATCATATCATATTTCAGTATCACTCGCAAACCGTAAAGTGTTGGACTCAGTCATGTGAGAAAGTGATTAATATGTCAAAAATATCAGCCGCTGGACCCGAGTCCGGCTTACAGGATGTTAGGGTTGATGTGATGCGAAAGAGTGTCAGGTGTATGCCTTCGCCGAATGGAGATAAAAAAGGAGCATCTAATAGAACCACCAACTATGTTTATGTGAATTCTGCATTCATTGGAAGTTTAAATAGTGTGAATGATACGAGAGCGCCTCAGGCTCCCACCAGGTGCGTTTTTAGACCGCTATTATTTCATAGATATGGCAAAAGGGTTGAAAGAATTTTTTTTTAAATATTACGTAAGTTATTAGGTTAAATATGAATAGCAGGGACCTATTGTTGTTTTATTGAATAATTGTAGTTTAAGAAAAAATACTTTAATATACCTTAAAGCATCTCATCAATAGAATATCTGGGCGACTAGACATTTTAAGAATAGGTTTTTACTCATCTATTGTTGTCACATTGTACCCAAACGAACAGAGAGAGGCAACTGTAATTCAGACTAATTATACTTATGAAAAAGTGACAAAACCATCATTTCTTATTCCTCTGTTTCCTCTTACAAAACGGTTTTTTAAGAGCAATATAAAAAGGGTTGCAACTATATCTGTTTTATTTTTATTTTTCATTTATCGTTTTTATGTTATGCTGTTTTCTAACAAAGGCGTTATTACTGGTAATTTAATAATTTTCGTAACTTTTGAATAATTTAATTATAGGAAAAACAAAACATAAGAACATGGTAGTACTAGATGAAATAAATTCTGTCGTAAAAATAAAAAAAATATTTACTTTAATGTCATTACCTAAATATATCGTCGCCCGAATATCCTCTTAATTTTTTTTATAGAAATGGGTGACAAACGAGCACACAGTCCACCTGATGGTAAGTGGTTGCTGCGACCCATAGACATCTACATCTATCATCCATTAAAAATCAAAATGCAGATGCGTTGTCACCCGTGAGGACTGAGATGGAATGCCTCGTTTCGAGTAAAAAGGGTCTCCGGTTCTCTACACTCACCATACGAAATACAGCAGCATTAAGCTACTATTTCACGCTATATCCTCTTAATATTAGGGAAGTGTTAGAAATAGTTACATAATTATGGATTTTTATACAGTATTTACATGCAGTAATGTCTCAGTAATAATCACTATATACTGGACGACCGTTTTTACCGTCTGGAAAAAAATAGGGTGTAATGGAGAAGAAGCCTGTGGTACTGATATTTTACAAAACATTAATAACAAAATTTTAAAATTAAGCGTTTGAAAAAAAAAATGGACAATTACTTCGCACTTTGCCCTCGAGCCTGTAACCCTGCAAAGTGAGGTCAAAGATGCCTACTAAATTTATTGTTTTATAGACGTTCGTAAAGTACGGTGGATATAATTTGAATTGTGATAGATTTTGATTAATTAATTTATTTAATTCAATATTTTTGTTTTTATTTTTTGTAATATATCAGTGCCATAGGCTTCTACTCCGGTTACATGTTACACACTACTTTGTTCTGGATGTTAAAAAAGGTTATCCAGTATAAAAATTAATGGATGTCTCGTTAGTTCCACTAAAACTGAAAAACGGCTCAACCGATTTTTATGAAAATTTTTGTATGAGTTTGAATTGGTCCCTTGATGGTTTAAATTTACATTTGGAGCCGGTAGGTTTCGCTGATGTCGAGGCTCAGAAATCACACATGGGAAGCTGGGGTATTGAATAAATCTATTCTTTTTCTTATTTAATATTTCAAATTGATTTCAAAATATTCAAAGGTATTCATTTTTTCATTCATCACTAAAATAATCCGAATTTCGAATTGTCAAAAATGTTTCTATCATGATATAAATAAAATCAGTACATAATCGATTTTAGGCAGTAAGTGCTTTTCAGTATCAGGATTGAAGGGATGGGTCCCAGGAGGGGTGTTTATTTAATATTGTATTGTTATGAAGATGAAAATATGTGTAGAGTCAGGTAGTGGCAAAATTTATCGCGTGATTAGAAACAAAGATAAGAAATTAAAGGCGTTGTTTCATTAGCCGACACGACTACGATGTTTCGTTCCCGATACCGGCTGAACGATATCAGGACACAGAAATATATAGAGCGACCTATGATGCTTTTTCATCTACCGACATGACATTATTATACCTTCACCGACAAATTATAATCGACGATATATCGGTACCACGTCCGCTCCGCACAGAATCAGTCCGATAAAATCTATAATGTGTGACTTAAATAGACAAAGATATTAATAAATTAGTGAAGTACACAACTTAATAAAAACCGAGTAGTAGGGAACCGGAGATACTTCAAAGTTAAAGTTATAGCCTGTATACGTCCCACTTGTTGGGCACAGGCCTCCCCTCACTTCTGAGGTCAAGGAAGTGTCCGCCGCACTGCCCTAATGCGTGCTGGCGAACTTCATATTATATCTTTCGAAATATATTTTTTTGTCTTATTTCTTAATACCAGGTTTCCTCACGATGTTTTTCTTTACCGCTGAGCACGTGGTAAATCAGCACTTAAAATTGTATGTATAGTCACTGATTAAAATAATTGTCTTGAACCTTTTTTTTTTGAATATATTTTTAAATATTTTTATATGTCTTAATATTTCATTTTTCATTATGCCATATTAATTACCTGTCGTAAACGATTCTTTTATGCATATTACCTGTACAAAATAATTTCGATATTTTACATCCCGCTCATCATTTTTTGTTTGGTTAAGAATTCTAATTTCAAATTCTTTTTTCAAAATTAGTTATTTGTTTATTGATTAGCGTTATGTTTTTATCGCATTTGAATCTTTTTCGTCATCATGGATACGGTAACAATTCGTGTGATTATGGAATGCGAGTATCGTCGTCACGGTAATATTATTATCTATAATATTACGGTGCCGTCGTGCAGCAACACGACACAAGTGGCACGCAACATAAACGACGTCCTACGACGGCTTATTTTTTCCTTCTTTCTTTCTTTCTATCGCAGAATTGAATATTAATGGGTGCGTTTGGCAGAAAAAAGCGCTAGCAAGCGCTTGTAAGCAAAATGGCGATCGTAAGCGGTAAACGCTGTCAAATCGTAAGTAGCTATTTTCCTCTAGGACACGATGTTAATTTTAACCGAGGAACCTAACCTAATTTAAATATATGTTTGTAAAGTATTCATATTAAAAACTTACCAATCATGAATTTTTAATTACATGTATATGATTATTCACGTTATTATATTACTTAAAACTAATATTGCACAAAACAACTTATAAACTCTATTTCAAAACAAACAAATTAAATAAGCAAAATGGCGGATTGTGTCAGCGCTACTGAAGTAGTAATCGTGTCCTGGCCGAAAACTATTTCAGCGCTTGTAAGCGCTTGCTAGCGCTTTTTTCTGCCAAACGCACCCATTGATATATCGCTAAAGATAAGATTTTCAATCATTTTAAAATCATTCCGTATCAGTCGTGTAAGAGTAATCGTTATTACACTTCTGCAGTATAATTAAAATAAGTCTGGGAGGATTTTATTTACTACCGAGCAAGTGTTGAATAAGGAATTAAAATTACAAACATTATTTCTTTTTTTTTTAAATAGAATTGTAAAATTTTAACGCTAGTAAATTTATTATCATACGTCATCATAACATTCCTCCAAAAGTCATCTACTGATCATAGGCGTCTCCCAAGGAATGCCATAAAATATACTGTAGAGGATTTTAAACACAAATTATGACGCACAAACAATGTTGAGTTAGACCAGAGACACGCCTTGGCTTCGTCTGAATAGGATTTATTAATGTTTCGTTATTACGATTTATGATAATTAAAGATGCTTTTTTTCCTCTTTTCTTTGGTTTTTTTTAAATAAATGTGTAATTTTTTCGGAGAATATAAAGCCTAGATCCATTCTCGTATTTATTCTTTTATGCTATATTTGCACACCAAGGACTTGCATGCAATAAGGTGTTCTCTACCAATCTTCTACTCGTCATTCTCTACCAATCTACCTCCTGGCTATGCAGAGACGATATTGTAGGTGCAAAGTGCAACTGAGTTAAAATATCTATGAGTACTCATACACATTACATATTACGATACATATTATAAAAATAATTACACATATATATTATATAGATATACATACAATATATACAAATATATACATATATTTGCTTAATTGCCTATGTATATGCATACGTTGTACATACATAATTAAATATAGCTGTTTCTGATTCAAAGACCTATAAAATATTTGAGATAAAACAGGAAAAGGGAACAGTTACAATAGAAGAAGGATATAAAAAATGTAAATCCACAAACTACTCCTGCAACGCCAGAAAATGATTCCAGAGCAAGCGTTTTGAACGATGCCTTGCTCGTGGCTGCACATACACTGCTCAGTAGCTCGTTCCACAATCCATTGACCACATGAGTATTGGTTTCCGTCTGTTCGTAAAATTTTCATCACAATCAGTTCAGTTATCCCGGATAATAGCGCGAGCAGACAGACAGATATTAAAAAAAATTGTTGTTTATGTCTTAACAGCATGCGAATAACCTACTGAGTTTTATTTGTATGTACAGATAACTTGAACATTACTGTTTGTTTCCTGTATCTGTATAAAACAAAGAATTTATGATGATACGCATAAGATAAAATATTTGGTTATATAAACCTGCATATCTAAACAATAAAGTATTTCAGGGACCATCGTAAATAGGCCTTATCTTTTAACTATTGACAATGTGCTCTATAAAAAAGTAATTATATATATATATATATATATATATATATATATATATATATATATATATATATATATATATATATATATTTAATTTATTCTACTATTAGATGTTGTTGGCGACGCGGGGTAAATCTTTCATTGTTTCTTGAAATTAATATTTTTAATAAAATGCTAATTTCTGATAAAAGTAAGGATATTAATACCACTTATAGTCATTTTTTTGTGACAATAAATGTTTGAAGCAGAGAAACAGAAACTTTTTTATTCAATATGGATTATAAATAATACTTATTGAAAGTCGCTTTTTTTTCATTTACCACTGGTACACAAAAAAACCTCTGTCCTGGGAAGAACCAGCAAGAAACCCAGCGGAACAATTTTTTTTTAAATAAGAGCTTACAATCATGTTTACAATTAGCATCTCAAAACAAATTAGAAATAGCTTGGTAGCGATCACCCTTCCCTGGGGTTATTATCATCCATAAATTCCTTAATATTATAATAACCCTTTTTATACAAACTTAGTTAATAAAGTTTTTGAACTTTGTGTATGTCAAATTTTGTATATTTTCTGGGATTTTGTTGTAAAAGCATATCGCCCTAAGAATGAATTACTGACTCGGTGGAGTCGAGTAACTGGTACTACCAGCTTGTGTCTGTTCCTAGCATTTACAGAATTAATATCACTTATTTTTGCAAAACTACTTTTATTTTCGTGTACGTATATTACATTTCATAAATGTAACATACGTACGTAATTTTCATAAGTGTATTAAGAGGCCAGAGTTAATGTATTAATTTCCTTAAATTTTTGTCTGAGCGACTCTCTAGGTTTTAAATCATACATTGCTCCAATGGCCCTCTTCTGTAATCTCACTGATAAGACTTATCGGTAAACATATAGCAATAGATAAGGACAGTTTAAAACTAGAATGAAATGTTGTTTATGTCCGACCGGGATAAGGCCTCCTATTTGTATCCCGGAGATCGTGTAAAATTGAGTTTGTCGAGTATTGTAGGCAATTAACAGAAAAAAAAACGCAAGTCCTAACCGCTTTTTTTTAATATTAATTAAAATAATATTTTTATAAAAGTTTTAGAATGCATTTTATAGCGATTTATTAATGTTTTGGATAAATTTTGTATAATGATAAGATAATAAAAATGTCAATAAAATTATATTCTAGTAATAAAATAGTAGCGAAATAATGGGAAAATAAACAATAATATTTAATGTTTTAATTCTGCTTAAAAGTTTTAATTCTTGTATTGAACTGTTGTATTGTAAACGATATGTGAAATTATTACTGAGAATTGTATTATAAATAAATATTCGACATTTTAAGTTTTATGACTATAAGAAATTTCTTGTAAAATTATGATATTGTGTTTAGATAATATTTTATTAATGCTTTGTGTAATGTACATGTTAAATTGTTTTTTATAATGTTTTTTTGCACTTTTTGAAGAAAATGAAATTAGGTAAAGTAAAGTAAAAGTAGTGAAAGTTTGGTATTAGTAGTATATAGTATTAGTATACATTTCCATTTACGAATAATTGCTGTTTTATTTTTCCAGTGCCCACCCTAAAAGTAGGGAAGTATGAAGATATACAACCCACTAAGTACATGACCTACGTCAGGACCGCGACCATACCTTGGCATCCGTAATCTTAGTCGTCAACCACTTTTTTTTAAAAACGGGATTAAGGAACGGGTAATTTTAAGAAAACTTTCTTTTTCAGTGTCATACGGGAGCAGTATTGGACGTGTTCGAAGTGGAGCTTCGCCCAAAAAGTTATGGCCATAGCAGTGGGCGTCCTCTCGGGCGCAGTGATAGGCCTTGCACTCACCGTGGCCCTCAGAAAAGGGGACACTGACTTGATTGGTGGTTTATTCAGATCCCAACCGGCGCCTGATTAAGTCTCGAGCTGTGTGCAGATTAATAGACTGTACAAATCCTTATATTTGAAGCTTCTTGGTTGCATGTATTTACTAAAGAAGTTTTCATGTTCATTATATACATGGGGGTTTAAAATTTATAAGACATAGGGAGTGTGTGTGAGGAAATCTATAATATATTTTTATTACATATTTTCCTTTTTTAAAGCATTAAAAAAGTTGAAAGATTTCAAACCTATAATGTTATTTCTGCAATGAAAATAACGCATATTATTTTTTTTAATAATAATAGTGATGTGACGATAAGTATGTTGCTGCGCCGATATATTATTTTGAGTTGTTATTAGGAAGATAATGTTTTATTTCTCCTGTTTCTTTTCTTTCTATCGTCTTTTTGGTCTTTTTATTTTAAAACGTTTACACAGTATTAGTTAAAATAATTAAAAATAAGAGATAGTTAGGAACTTTTATGCTTACTACACAAAATAAAATAAGTAAGTACTTATTAAGAATTTAAGCATTTTGTTTGTGAACAAATACGAAATAAATTAGTATCACATGTCAAATCAATATCACACGCTGTTTGACCCCTGTCAAAGAATATATACTGCCCCTGTCAAGTTAAAAGCGTAAAGTTGTGACACCGGAGATTACTGTACCAGACGTTTAATAAACTTTATGAAATATCTGAAATCAGTTATTTTTATCTATTCCTAATTTTCGAAGATTCAAGACAATTTTTTTCACTGTTTTATTTGTCTTTCTTGTTTGTCTGTCGTTCAGGGTGGAATTGAGTGATTGATTTTAAACTAACTTCCTGATGAGGTGGAAATTTGAAATTTTGAATATAGCTCGGATGATAATGCAAGAATATTAGAGAAATAACGTGGAAAATTCACTTGTTCTTTTTTTCATAGGATAGAGTGATAAACGAGCACACAGTCCACCTGATGGTAAGTGGTTGCTGGGGCCCATAGACATCTACATCTATCCTCGATTACGAATCAAAATGCAGATGCGTTGTCACCCGTGAGGACTAAGATGGAATGCCTCGTTTCCAGTAAAAAGGGTCTCCGGCCGGTTCTCTACACTCACCATGAGAATACACCAAGAGAAAAAGCATTAAGCTACTATTTTACGCTGGTATTCTGTGAGAGCATGTTCCTTCCCCGGCCGAGCCGACCCATTCGTGCTACGACTATACTACTAATATAACTGCAGCATGGCTTTACCACGTATAAAAAATCACAATTAAACTATCAAACCATACGGTTAATCAATTTAAATAAAATAAAATATTCACCTTCGTCCAGATTCATCGTAAAAACTCACTAGTAGTGGGTCTCCCTCTCTCTCTCTCTTTGGAAGGAATTGCCTTAACCGCCACACTTGAGGAGCGGATTGATAATCGCATTAGTAGCGCTGGTTGGGTTTTTACGCCCGGCGTAAAGACATGGTTATAACACCGTCTACCTGATGCTATAAGAACTTTCCGACATTTCCCATAGTTGCCACTTACACTACACCACTTACAATACCCGCGGGAAGCAATGGGATGATGGTTCCTGTTACGCTACCACCACATAGCAAATCAAAAAATTTAATTAATAGAATCAGGCGTTACTTTGCGGAAATCCATTACATTAAAGTTGAATCTTACCTCGTACACATCTGGTCAATAAAATAAAATGATGTGTCTTACCTAGTTTAAGTAGCACCTCCCTTCCTCCCAAAAATTGCGTGCACTAGTCCCGTCACCACTAATCCCAGCCCCACTACTCCCAACACCACTACACTAAGAAAGACACACCATTGATAATACGACACGTGTTTCGTCTCTACACGAGGCACCCTCAGGTGATGTAGACTCTGCGGTGGCTAACCGCTAAGTGACTTATCGCTTGAGGAAGGGAGGGAAGTGCTCTTCAATCTAGGTAAGACACGTCATTTTATTTTATTGGGCGGATACGTGCGAGGTAATTCTTACCAACTTTCATGTAATATAATTAATTTATATTATAATAAAAACCTGACTAAATATAAAATTGGAACTGAATATGAATGAAATCATATGAATGAAACGTATAATTTGTTTTTAAATAGGACTGAAAACAAATACTTATGTACAACAGTTGACTACAAACTAACATTCGGTATTAGTAATTATATTACGTTAATTGATCCAAAGAAGACATCATTATTTATGTTATAAGATATCATAATCCGATAAGTCCCAATCCCATATACGGTCGTTTTTAAAAATGTCCATTATGTTTAAGTAGTTATGAAATTTTCATTAGGTTTAATTGGTTTTTTCAGTCAAACTATCTTGAATATCGGTTGTGCAGACAATTTTCAAGAAGTCAAATATTTGAAATTTAGTAAAAATTCTTTAAAGCGCCTTGATGTTTTAGGACTGGAATGATAAATAATTTATATCGTTAGCCGGCGACATACATACAAGCAAGTATACTGATTATGTAGATAGATTAATTGATAAATTAGTAGTTAAATTAAAATTTTGTAATAAATGAGTACAATATATCAACGTGCCCATTACTCGATATTTACCTGTGATTCGTACATTGTAATCGATATCATTTTCACAATACGTATTGTTATTATAATATACGTGGTAGAGCTAGAACTTGTCGATAGACTTGATATTTTGTATCTAGTGGTAACCTAAGAATTAAATGTTTTATATCAAGTGTGATTGTTTTACCAAATCACAGAGATATTGTGAAATTTGTAAATGATAAAAGAGCAATATTGTAACGTAAAAATCCTATAAAATAATTTTTTCAATTTAAATTAACAGAAATTATCCGATAATTTTGTTGTTGTTTTTAAGATGATTATGTAATTTTAAGGTTTTTCTATGTATTTTCCTGCTAAAATTGTAATTTACTTTAAACAATACAACTATGTAGGTACTATGTATTCCAAATCTAAAGGGAGGATAGTACTGTATCTCCTAAATGAAGGTTACTAAGTAACCTAGCCTGGGAGACTTAGAATTTCTAATTGTTAATGGTCTACGTGATCTCTGTAACAAGTAAGAATGTCTATATGTAATTAGATGTATAAACTATAGGAATGTAAATAAAGAATTGTTATTATAATAGAATTTTAAATGTTTATATCGCCTTCAATCTAAGACCATAAGATTTTCGGGTATTTTACAAGTCGATATTTTACAATGCCAGACAGTCAAAATATATGCAGCTATATTATGGTTGTAGCATGAATGGGTCGCCTCGACCGGGGAAGTACCGCGATCGCACAGAATACCAGTGTAAAATAGCAGCTTATTGCTGCCGTGTTTCGTATAGTGAGTGTAAAGAAGAACAGGAGATACGTTTTACTAGAATCGAGACATTCCATCTTAGTCCTCAGGGGTGATAACGCGTCTGCATTTTGTTTCTTAATCGAGGTTAGATGTCTATGGGCCATAACATCCACTTACCATCAGGTGGACTGTGTGCTCGTTTGTCGCCCTTATTCTATAAAAAATCTATCTCGGAATTGATCGTTCCTAATTCAAAACTAAAAGACGCAAATACAAACGATATCAAAAATCATAAAGCCTAAGATAGAATAGCATTTATTATTGACTGATTATTTTTTTCTGTTTAACATTTTTTTTAATACTCGTATGTACGTAAAATTAATAATTTCTTCATAAAATTATCCTTAAAAATAACAAAATACGGTTACAAGCCTATATGTATATACCTCAGACCGGTCTCCTCTTCTTTCTTCTTTCTGAGAGGTTATGGACCAATAATTCCGCCTATGGGAATCGTCACCTCCATAAAGTTCCTCAGGTGGAACGGGAATCTGCTATAGTTGTCTCGTTTGACAGGCGGAAGTTTTTTTTTAATTTCAGAATAAGCGTGACAAACGAGCACACAGTTCACCTGAATATTTATTGAACAAAATATTAATTCATAAAATTGTTTAAAATAAAATTGTGCTTAAATATAGGGAACGTAGCTGGCTATGAGAGAAATAGAGAAAGAAAATGTGCATTGCTCTCTCTTGCTTATATCCCCCACTCAAATCCCGTTCGCCTAGCCCGATCACACCTTTCGTAACGCTTTCGTCACCCGTTCGCCAGCTTACTCCCCAAGTCAAGCGTGCGTAAAGAAGTTTTACTTTAACAAATGTGAACCTCGTAACCTTTAACCACCCTAAACTTTTTATTTTACTCATTAACTGAACTCTAAACGAAAGGGCAATCTTAATTAGGCTCAGTAAAGTCGACGCGAGCGTACACCAGTTGCCATCAATCACCAACTGTTATCTCGAATCGGATCTGTTGAGATAGCGCCGCCATCGGGCAACCGCTCGCCTTGGCTATTGATAAACAACTTAAAGCAAATATGTAATAACTTTTTATACTGGATAATGCAAACTAAGTACACTATGGCTCAATATATTTCAAAAATGTTCATGTAATAAATAACCATGAATAAGAGTAATAATAGTGAGTGATCACAATTTTTTGTAGGCGTTCATAATTTTAACTTTGTTGCCGTCACCATCAGTGCCACCACAAGCTTGGCGAGCTAGCGATAGTGATACGTTAATTTCCTTAAATTTTTCCTTAAAAAAATGTTACTTCCAAATTAGGATTTTCTCTCGTGTCGTGGGGGCAATTTGCATCTCACAAAGACACACTTCCAGACTCGGAAACTTAGAAGCCGTTTATTTCCGGCATTGTTGGTCTTTCTGGCGTATTTAGGGAAGGATATACCTAGGGGTCGGTGACATCAAAGCCTTACGGAGACAAATCTCGACGTAGAGCCGAGTATGTCATACCGACTGGTGTTTATAACCACTACACGAGGAGCTCGCTTTCTAGATTTTAGCTTAAATGCAGCTGTGAGGTTGCGTTGCGTATTACTTCACGCTTGGGGCAGGTCTACCAGGGGGAATCAGGGCGACCTCAAAGTTTAACGCACACGAATCTCAACGTGCGACCGAGTATGTCGTTTCGACACGACACGTGCACCCACTGTCAAGTGACGCGCCCTACCCCCAAGAGATCGATGAGTTCTACTCTAAGGAACTTCATAGACGTCAAATATACCTTACGCAACGTAGATGCTGTTTTTGTTTTTACGATACCGCTATAATAGTAATAATAATAATATCTCTATTTCGATCAACAAGGATCATATAACATAATTTTTATAATTATGTGATAACATAGCCTATTTTCAGTAAATAATTATAATAACAAAGAAAAATCGAATAAAAATAAATAAATAAGAGAATATATAAAAAACCTTCCAAACCGAAATCAACAACAAATGTAAGCATTATTTATTTGTCAGTACATGAACCATACAACAATGGTTCAGGTACTGACAGTCAATTCTATTCACTCACCCTACGAAAAACAGAAGCATCAAGCGGCTACTTTTACGCTGGTATTCTGTGATCCGTGAGTGGTCTTTTCCCGTTCGCTCCGACCCTTTCGTGCTAAAATCGTAATATTATAGCTGCAGTGTTGCTCTACCACGTATAAGCCAAATTCCACGACATTTGTAAATGTCAAATTTATTGCCGAATAACTTCGTTTTTTCCCCCAATATCTTTAATATCCATAAAATCCTTCAACTTTTTGTGATTTCTACCTTCCTTGTATAGATAACAATAAAATTACTATCATATCAAATATCGTAATGAAACGGTAATGAGAACGTCAAGGAGGGGAATGATATTGAGAAGTTAAGTTAAAGGATAGGGATGATGAGGGATTTTCATCGTAGACATTACAACTTAAGCTTTATAAAACACCCGTCCTGTTAGATTGTTTTAGTATTTTATTTGTATTAAGACATTTTATCAACAAATCGACCTTAATATGAACTTTGCAAGCACACGTATTTCTACTGGACTCCTTTGGGTATAAAACCCATAATGGGCGATATTTATAAAATCTTTGATACGTTATCATTCGAATTATGCGTAAATTTTTTGTACAAATTAGTCAATGTGTCCGTTAAGTATCTTTTCTGCTTCCTTATTTGGTTTTTGATATATTTATATATATATATATATATATATATATATATATATATATATATATATATATATATTCAAGAGTCATCTCCTCATCGTCAAAAAACTCCAAAATTAGTTGCTCTTTCAAGTTTTCATTTTTAGCTGTCTTATTTTCTTTTTTATCTCTTACTGTAAATATTTTTGTTTGTGTCAAGAGTTTATATTTTTTAAACTTTTCTTTTTCCGTCATAACCACATTAGAGAATTCTTTCTTATCCTTTTTCCTCAAGCACTTGTACCCTTCTCCAACACTTCTTGAAAGTATTTCACCAAACATTAGTCGCTCTTTAATTTCTTCGCGCTTTTGTGTATTAACATTTTCTACTAGTTGTTCTACTTTTTCTTCAGTCGATATATTTTCTTTTTTTCTTATTTTTCATTATTCTATACAACATTTTTCTAATGCCACCTTTATATTTCTTCGTTTTTTCTATTTCATGTTTCTAAATGCCTATTTCTTTTTTATGTAGGAAGCGAACCTTTCTCTGTAGAATATTTTCTTTAGCCACCCTTGACAAGAATTACTATTACCGTAATCCAAACGATTTAGATATGAATTAGGTATGAGGCTTAGAGCTAATTGAGTGAGAGGATCTTGTTTAGCTGGATGTACTTCATTGTCACTATTTGGTGGAGAATTATCTATTAACAACTGTTGAATAGCTTTTTCTTTCTTTTTTCTTTCATGACGTTTCATGACGTTTTGAATTAACTCTTTACTTCTTCCTCTGAACACTCAATTGTCTAGGTGTCATATCTTTTGCGCTACTTATTTTTTTCTGTTCTTTTCTTTTAAGGTATCCTGCTCTTTCTTTTGCCTTCAGATCTGCATACTTTTCAGTATCTTCCTTAATTTCTGCATACTTTCTTTGTTTTTGTAATCGATCGCACTCTCGTTTCTGCTCTTATGTTTGTCTGGCTTTCTTTGGCATTGTTAGTTCTTAATAATCTGTAACAACACATTATATGATATTGCTCGTATTCATCATATCAAGCTCATCCTTAATAACTAAAGTAATAAAAAAGGACACTCACAAGGTTAGCTTGTGAGTTTACTATTTGTAAAAAAACTTAAAGCTACATCAAGAAACAAATTAAAAACTATTAATTCTTTATTTTACTATGAATTAAACTATTATTATAACTGTATCGTAGTAGTGTTATTGTGGAAAAAAAATCTCAATTACGGGTTGGACCACACGGTTTGTAATGTAATAATGCACTGTAATAAATAATAATAAATTGACGTAAAATTGATTCTAATTGTCATCGTTTTGACCTCATCACCATCGCTATAAAAAACGACGGTAAACGAAGATAGTGAGGACGTAGGTAATGAGGTTTTTATTCTTATCTAATTGTTTCGTAAAAAATATCAAAATTACGAATCTCGTGCTTACTTTAAATTACGGCGGTAATCACTACAATTGATAATTAGCTACATATTAAACAAAATCATTAATACTCACTTAATAATATGGACGAAAGGAAAGAGGACGATTTCAGAATAATCACCTCCCGCGAAACTTTAAACGTAAATATTTTTTTCTAAGAACAGGCGTGAACCTTCTACGACGTTTGTTGGCTGGCTGAGACTTGTGCGGAGCGCAGCATGGTGGTATAGTGACATTCACGCCAATACGCGGACTATAATTTAGATTTTCACTAAAACCGATGGTAATCAGAAATTTTTTTGATAAACATTTATGAAATAAAATTTCTTTATATTGTGGCGTTATCGTTATTTATTTTAAGTGTAAACGTTGTGTTTTTTAATAAAGTTTCATAATATGGATATTTTTTATATTTAATGTTTATATTTTTGGTTAAAAATACAATTTTTTTTTAGAAGAGTAGTAAATGGACACCGAAGATAATGAGAATTATCGAAGTTTTTTATTTATCATTAATTTATTACTTTTTTTTTGTTGTTTTTTAAGTTTAGTTTTAAATTTCTTTAAAATGTGGAAAAATTTTTTTACTTTTTTTTTTTTTTTTTTTTTTTTTTTTTTTTATATTAAGTCATTTTTTTTTTTTACTCATTTGTTTTGTTACGTTGCTAGTTAGATATAAATGCAATACTTTTTATTATACATCACTTAAAGCGTAGACAGTGTATGGAATAAAATATACAGTTGCACAGTGCTTAACAGCAATCTCTCCTAGGCCACCTTTATAAATACGTTAATTGTAATTATGTTTTAATGACGATTAACTTTGGTATTACGTGCAGTCGCTGGCGCTGGCACTGATCTTTAATTAAGTACAAACTTTGATATTACTTTAATAACGTTAACCGTTGGTGTTTGCATCTTATTGCTGGCGACTGTACTTAACTACATACTCAAGATCAGCTGTTATTGCTTTAGCATCTACAGGCGTCCGATAATTTATGTCTATCCTTGAATAAAACTATTATTAACGGATTTTATCGTGCTTAATTACTTTAATTTATTTTTATCATCCCGACGTTTCGGGTGCTTTACAGCACCCATGGTCACGGGGGCGACTGAGATGTTTGACGTCCCAATCATAGTTAGTCAAGCTACCTTCAGTTGTTGAATATAAATTTTTGATCCGATTTACGCAAAACGAGCTTATAGTATCATGAAGTCTTACAGTGGTATGCTTGGGTTTGGGTTTAATTTTGTTAATTATAGTATCCCAAAGAGGTGGCAGCACCCATCCATCTTCTCTATTGAAATTTGAATGTTTTTTAATTTCAATAGCCTCGCGTATCATCCTTGGTAGGAATCGGTGGTCTTTTGCGAAACGTCGGGATAATAAAAATAAATTAAAGTAATTAAACGCGATAAAATCCGTAAATAATAGTATTATTCAATGTGGAGTGTTCGCGTAAATTTAAGAAATCATTATGTTTATCCTTAAATTTAAACACATTAAGCTAACATTATTTTGTTTAACATTATACTATGTAGTTGTTTGCTATTCCTAATAAAAAGAAAAGAAATCACTTCTCACCCTCTTTCGAACGACGGTTTCGGCGACGGAAACTTACACCATTCGAAAGGTACTGTACCTTTCGAATGGTGTAAGTTTCATTAATTTTCATATAAAAGTGATATGATAAACGAAATGCAGTCTACCTTTTTTAAAATAATAAGGGTAACAATCGAGCACACAGACCAACCGATGGTAAGTGAATACTGTGGCCCATAGACATCTACATTTAATCCTCCTCGATTAATATTCAAAATGCAGATGCATTGTTAACCCTGCGGCCTAAGTTGGATTGCCTCATATCCAGTAAAAAGGGTCTCGGGTTCTCTACAGTCAAAAACATTAGGTTGCCATTTTACGCTGGTATTCTGTGGGAGCGTGGTCCTTCCCCGGTCGAACTCCATTCATGCCAAAACTATAATATAGCTGCTAACTTTAAACATGGAAAGCTGCAGATGCGTTCACCTCTGAGAATTTAGATGGAATGATTCAAGGCCGGTCATTATACTGACTCTATATATCCTTCAATTCGGACCACAGCCGTGAAGCCACTGCTATTTGGTGTTATATGTAAAACGGTGGTATTCATCCAGATGAACTCAAAGGCAGAAATGGAGTCCGAAATTTACCAAGAGAGAAAACTTGGTCAAAATAGGTTTGTAATATAAAAATACACAACCAATTCAAATCTGTTATATTTAAGTTATCGCAAGTATGTTTCAAAGGTATACAACGAAAATGCTTCACAATTTTTTATATAGAATAAGGGTGACAAACGAGCACACAGTCCACCCGATGGTAAGTGGATGCTGTGGCCCATAGACACCTGCATTAAACGCAGATGTGTTACCACTCATGAGGACTAAGATGGAATGCGTCGTGTCCAGTACAAAGGGGTCTCTGGATCTCTACACTCACCATACGAAACAGTAGTATTAAGCAGCTATTTGACGCTGGTATTCTGTGAAAGCGTGGCCCTTCCCCGGTCAAGCCGACTCATTCGTGCTACAACCATAATATAGTTATAGCGTGGCTCTATCACGTATGAAATTTGTCACAAGGGTGACATTCACGACTAACTGTTATTCATAACTGTGATAAATTGCCGTCACCGGCTAACCTTTACATCGGCCATCTCGTTACGCGATACCGCAGTCGTTAAAAAAACGTTTCACGAGCTAAAGTACAGTCACTGTCAAAATATTCTTGGTATCTTTACCACTTCTTTTTGGCGTGTTCGTGGAGAATCTTACTAACATTGGAATTTATGATGAAATAATTAGGTCGCAAAAGAGAAACTCTCAGATTGTCTTTAAAAGATCTCATCAAGCTTAGTCGTCGGGTATTTATTACGTCTCTTAGGGAAGCTTTACTTCTTTAATACAAAGACTTCTACGTACACTATACACAACTGTGGATCGCGCGGACGTAGGTGCGATTGCGGAATCGCGGGTACGGCCGCGGACCGGTAGCTGGCATGGTAAATATGCCACTGCTGTTCTGGTGCACGCCTCGTAGCTCAAAGCATTATTAGTTTATTAGGTAGTGCTTTACTCTCGACACATAAATGTCAAGCAATTTTTTATTCTTAAAATGCCTCCATCATTACCATATTGCACTTATACGATATTAGTAGCCATATATAAAAAAAACAGTCTTATTAATCCACCTTATATTTTATAAAAAATCATTTTATGTTGCTACTTTGAAAAATAAAACTATATGAAAAAAGTTTACGTTTACGTCCGGATGTTGATTTTGTATGTAGTCACGATAAATTCCGAAAAAATTACGTATCGAGACCGGTTTATTTTTATTAGCTTCAGAATTATATCAACAGTTTGTTAATAAAATGATTTCCTACTTTTACTGCTATTAACAATTTAAAGACGCTTTCATATTTTTAGTCCTTGATAGACAAAGGACAAATGTACCATACAGCCTATTATTTGATTTATTTTGGTAAAGATTATGAATTTTTCGTTGTAGCTGACACTACCTGCTAAAATAATAGAGCGCTAAATTTAAAACACGTAAATAATATATTTTAAAAGTCAAGATAACAATTTATTTTTTTCATCAAAATTAAATGAAACGCTCATGAGGCGTGCACGTTTGTGTTTTCCAAACTATTTACATTTACGACAGTTACAGAAATAAAGTTACAACATATTTATTTGAAATAAACTTCAAATTAACCTTAACCTAGTGAATGTATTAAGGCCACAGAGCCCGAGTAGTAGTATCCACAGAAGTCTTTGGTATTGAAACGGCCTAATAAAACATTAAATTAACAAAACGTAACAGGAATAGTGAGCACCACAAGTGTACTCATTACACTTTCACACATTGACATTTACAGTGATTTCAGAGCCGGCTGAGGTTTCGCCATGCTTATTTTAAGGGACGTAAAGTGGAGAATGATTGATGATGCGTTTGCTTGGGCGGTGCGGTCCGATTTCGCTGCAGGAAGATAAGGATCGCGGCAGTATATCCGCATCGTATGACGCAGATTGTTTCAACACAATCGTGTGTCGGGTTACGAGCTAAGTAAACTTCATTACTATCAAAATACATGATATTTACTAGCTTGAATGAAGTGTATTTAAAGCATGTCATTTTTTCTCTGTTTCCGAAGCCTGGATATTAATGGTGCGACTCCATGTTTGAACTCGTGAACTGATTTATGACTGTAGTATTTGGCCTTGCAGGCAGGCATTGTGTGTTGCACGTCGTCCACTTTCCTTTAATATGATTGAGAAGGATGATAGCTTCTAATTCTGCTTTAGAAATAATTAAAAGGTCACCATAAATTCTAACGCAATTCGCACGTGAATAAACGCATGGTCACCCTACCGCAATGATTCACAGCACCCCATGGCTCCATTACGGCATCCACTGACGATGTTACCGTAGATCGGTATCGACGGCCTATTATCCCGATAAGCGGCTATTTGCCCCCATTGTTCGTCAGACCGAGGACTCTATTGTTCAAGGTAACTTAAGCATTCATACAGTTTTGTAAAGTTTAAGTGTGTTATTTATTGCTGGTAGGAATGGTAGAGGTAAGCTAACAGCAACAAATCTTATTCATCAGCCAGTGTAATATTCTGCTAAGTATAGACTTCCATTATATTTTATCGCAGTATCAGGCGTACTTTATGTCTAGTATATTAAGTAATAATGTCCAGTCTTAACAGTTTTGTAGTGCACAATGAGGGTTAATATTATTTCGCTTACTAGATGTCACTACTTGACAATGAGGATGAGGTAAAGTTTTTTGTTACGCAATGTCATTTAATTGAGAATACAAAATATAACTCATTGTACAGAAATAAACCTTAACCTTTATATATTTCGTACAAATGAACTTCCCCGCTATGAAATCTGTCAAATTACACTATTTTTAAGTGGCCCCCCTGGTAATTTCACAGGTGCACTTTTTATTTCCGCACTGTAATAGTCCCATAGGACGATAATCTAACATGACCGGAGAGAGATCAGGCGAAGGATCAATGGTTTTAAGTGTTTTCCGAGTTACGAAGGTGAAACAGCCAACGTCCTGACTCTGATTGCTACTAAGAATTTTCTGACGGAATCACTCAATATTATGTATCTGTTCAATGATAATTCAAAATTGTATATCTCTAAAACCAGTTTTTATTTTCATTTTATCGTTCTATACTACTGTGGTCAAATTCACGCCATTATGCATTGGTTTAGGGTTAGGGTTAAGGATTCCTAATATTTTACTTGTGGTAATAATCGTTCACGTGTCTCTAAAATGCGTCCTAGGTATTTCAGATCCCTTTACATTTGAAGCGTCACTTTGTTCACGGGTATAACTGCTTTTGTGTTTCCGCGTGCACGTTTGGAGAGTACAATACTCCGATTTTTGTTATATTTTTTTCTATTTTTTATAGGAAAAGGGTAAATAACGAGCACACAGTTCACCTGATAGTAAGTGGATGCTGTGGCCCATAGACATTTATATTTAACCTCGATTAGGAATCAAAATGCAGATGTGTTGTCACCCTTGAGGACTAATATGGAATGCCACGGTTCCAGTGAAACGGGTCTCCGGTTCCCTACGCTCACCATACGAAACACAGCAGCATTAAGCTGCTATTTTACGCTGGTATTCTGTGAGAGCATTGTATATGAAAGTTGTTGCCAGTTGCAAACTGTGTGACGGACCATTTTAGTCCCTAGATGTGACTAAGCATCCGTATCCTTCTTTGTTTGAAGCAGATTGCTGACTGCCCATGGGCTGTAGAAGCCTCCCATTGTCTAGTGGACTGTAAATTCGTTTGTAACTTCGATATCACAAAGAGTGCTTTGAAATTGTGCCAGGAGGATATCTTTAGCGTACGTAAGAACATCTATTTCTACTCTTTCACACTTTTATCTTCGCAGTTTCTAAGCGCAGTTTGCAGTAGTAGAGCCACGCTGCAGCACATTATGATTGTAGTCGACCAAGGCAGGATCACGCTCTCACAGGACACCAGCGTTAAATAGCAACTTAATTCTGCTGTGTTTCGTATGGTGAGTGTAGAGAACCGAAGAACCTTTCTACTGGAAACGAGGCATTCCACCTTAGTCCTCAGGGATGACAGCGCATCTACATTTTAATTCCTTATTACCATCAGGTGGAATGTGTGCTCGTTTGTCATCTTATACTATAAAAAAACCGCACAATGCATAATAGCACTTTTTCTTCTGCCTAGGAGTACGATACCACGCACTTATCTATTTTTACTGTTAAGCAGCCGTGCTAAAACTATGTTCCTGTCGAAAGGGTAAAGAGTATCATTCCAGCCAGAGCCATCCATCTATAACCTACTTTGTTTGGAGTTACGCCTGCCCACGGGCTACAGTAGCTACTCGCCAGTAGGTAGACTGTTGGTTGTTTTCTTTCTATTACTTTACAAAAAACAAAGCAACGGTATCCTTATTTGTTTGCAGTTGCGCGTGTCCTCGGGCTACAGTAGCTACTCGCCAGTAGGTAGACTGTTGGATATTTTGTTTCTACTACTTTACAAAAAACAAAGCATCTGTGTCCTTCTTTGCTTGGAGTTGCTTGCAAGTGACAGTCCATAGTCACCACTAGCCACATACCATCAGATAGACTGTAAGTTGCGTTATGTCACTTCTATTTTATTTAAAAAAAACTTGAGAGTAATCTATATCCATAATTTAACATTTTATCTTTCTAGTTTATGTCTAAACACAATGCATTAAGGCATCACGAAGTATTCGATATTCGTCAAACAATTTTATCCAAAACATGCGATGTTTAAACTACGGAGAGAATTTATTGCTACTTCCCCAGCAGTAACAACCCATTCTTCCAATAGCGGGTGGTCGCGCATGGCCCTTAATTTATCGACCATCCCCCTTCCTTATCGATGAGGTTAAGTGGCCGAACTACTTTTTATGCTTACTTTTATCGATGTTTTTAAATTGTTTTGCCGTGTATTGAAAACTAAAATATATTGGATCAACAGCCGTATCTTAAATAGACGTTTTGTTGTTTTTTATTTATTTTAACATAAGTACATGTTAAAAACTAGGGAATGCATAATTTTTTGGATATCAGAGAAGTATTTAAATAGATGAAAACTATTTTATTTTACTAAGGAGAAAGAGAATGCTTAAACTTAGCGTGCCCTCAATCAAAAAGAACACTCATGGAATCGCCTTTATGTTTGCTGTATCTGTGACGTTTTTATTTAAATTAATTTCTGTCATAATTTCAGATTGCTAAAATACAGACATGAAGCAGGTTCAAAACTCTACTTTTTTATTATTAAGAGATATTTATAGCCCTTCGCAAGTCTACTGCTGAACTTAGAACTCACCCAAGGAATGTTATAAAGCACACTCCTGAGCTACCTGGATCCATCAACATTCCGCTTCTCGTACCAGGTCATCACTCTATCCCAAGGGGGACCGCCCTATACTTCTCGGTACGGTATCTTACCGGTACGAGCCTGCCAGGTATAAGATTCTTTCCTTTATCATATTTAGTGGAGTAAAAAATAAAATAAGCAAATGCCATTGTATCATATGATTTAAGTATTCGATAAAAATATAGTACAGAAAACTGTGTACTCAGTGTGGTTAGTAGAACACTTAATTACGACAAATTTTTTCAATGTAAACAAAGTCCCACAACTTTAAAAATCATGGTTAACGTAGCCGGCGCAAGCGCAACGCGTTCATCCGATTTATAGCATAGATAATCGTCAATACCGCTCGTGTTGTCCTATCCGTGCCTAATAGCTCCCTGCAGATACTGCAACTTATTGCCATGGCATAGACAATGCGAAAAAGTGGCCACTCACTATGTGTGTGATGTCACTCCCATCGTAGACAGTATATCACAGTCAGCAGTGAAGAGTAATTTATTTATTAAGCACATAATAAATTGATATTGTATGATTTCGTGACTCAAAAAACGAAAACCTTACAGGATCACTTCACTCACCGTCTGTTCGTCCTTTTTTTTCTAGTTTACATTTGTATCAAATACTAAGGTCTGCGGCCACTTGGAGGTCAAAAATTAAGTTTCAAGGTATCAAGTTAAGTCAACGCATTTCTTAATAGAATAAGTGTGACAAAAGTGCACACATTCCACCGGATGATAAGTGGATACTGTGACCCATAGACTTCTACATCTATCCTTGATTAAGAACAAAAATTCAGATTCGTTGTCAAAACTGAGGACTAAGACGGAAGTATTCAAAATAATGACAGAAAAATATTACGGTATGCTATGATTGGTTATATAATCGGCTCGATCGGGGAAGAACCGCGCTCTCTCGGAATATCAGTGTATAAGAGCAGCTCGCATAAAAATACGATATATTTTATACACGATTTTGACGCTCGAGAATTGATACTTCTTGAAATGGTCTATTCTCGGAAAAAATATATAAATATAAAATATGTATACAAGAAACTTTACAAGGTTCGGCCGCACATGGAATACTGTTCCCATCTCTGGGCTGGGGCTCCCCAGTACCAGCTCCTTCCACTTGACCGCATCCAGCGCAGAGCGGCTCGAATCGTCGACGACCGAGTGCTTTCCGATCGGCTCGATTCACTGGCACTGCGAAGAGATGTTGCATCTCTTTGCATTTTATTTCGCATATACCATGGTGAGTGCTCTGAGGAATTGTTCGGATTAATCCCAGCCGCCAAATTTCGTGAACGCACTACGCGGCAAACGTCCCGATACCATCCACACCATCTGGATGCTTGGCGGTCCACCACAGTACGTTTCAAAAGGAGTTTTCTTCCGCGTACAACCTCTCTGTGGAATAGTTTACCACCGGCGATTTTTCCGGACCGATACGATCTGGGTACCTTCAAGAAAAGAGCTTACTCCTTTCTAAAGGGCCGGCAACGCACCTGCAATTCCCCTGGTGTTGCGGTTGATCATGGGCGGCGGTAGTCACTTAACACCAGGTGAGCCGCATGCTCGTTTGCCCCCTCTTCTATATAAAAAAAAAGAAATACCACAATTATTTTCTTAACGGATCCTTAAAATACTTTATACTACTTACTTAATTGAGATAAAACATTATAATTTGATCATTTTATATAAACACATTTTTGCGCTCTAAAAGCTCAGAAACTGGTGAAATTTTAAGCACTTTGCATTTAAAATTAGCGGGAAGTTGCAGGGATAAGTAGGATCAACCGTTTTTTTTTTTCATTCATTACAACCTACCAAAGGGTCATTGCTGTACATAATCCTCTGGCATAGATTGCCTCATAGGTTTTTATAAAGCCTGTATTTTGCCAGAAGATTTCAAAAATGTTTGATTTTGCCATAGTTTCCTTGCTTTGCATGTGGGTTGGCTGCTGCAGATTTTTATTATTCTTATGCTGCGGCCACATTGTCCCGATAAGGTGAAGATCAAGTATATAATCAAAGGTGAAGATATGCGTTGTTGCGACACGTCTGGACAAGCAATTCGTCATATCGCGAATCATTCAGGGGAACTCGAATGCCCTTTGCGTGAATGTTGATAAATTGCCGCACCTCAAAGGGTTTTATCGCGACAAAATTCGCGCGATTGGCTACACTTCGCGAACACTGTGTTTACAACGAAACGTCGAGCGGTATGCACCTATTTTGACTTACAAAATTCTGATTTTATTTTAGATAAAATATGGCTGGAGTAAAAAAAAAATTATAGATTTTTTTTATGGAAGTCCTAAGAGCTTAGAGTCAAATCAATATTACGACGCACTGGTGAGGATAGAAATAATTTAGATTGGCTTGTTATGGTGGAAGAGAAAATAAAAGGAGAATTAAAAGTTAAAATAAAGCTTTTATTTATTTCATTAAGAAATAATATCGCATAATATGTCTGAAATTTGGTACCAATATGTGTATCAATCACGCCGACAAAGTGGTAAAATAAAAATTGGAAAAAAAATGTTTTATTAGGGTAGCCCCCCTATATGTAAAGTGGGAAGTGATTTTTTTTAATTTAAACCCTTACGTGTGATATATTGTTGGAAAGGTATTTAAAAATGAATAGGGGTTTACTAAAATCATTTTTTGATAATGTCATTAATTTCAGAAATAAACGCTCCAAAAGTAAAAAACAATGTGTGTCCCCCCTCTAACTTTTTGAACCATAGGTTTAGAAAATATGAAAAAAATCTGAAAGGTAGAACTTTATAAGGAATTTCTAGGAAAATTATTTTGAACCTGGATGGAAACAGTTTTTGTACAAAAAAGACAAAAAGTTGTACAAAATAATTTCTGGACTAAGTTTGTAGTATAATCGTTTAAGCAGGCATTTTTTTTAACTTCGTTTACATATTTTATTATCCTGAACGTATCTTTTTTTCAAACAAAAAAAAGAATTATTAAAAAATTATCCAAAATTACCACGGAAAACTTCTGGCACGTCTGTGTATTAATTAGTAACCCAATTCCCCGAGAGATGGCGCTGTAGGTACTTATTACATTGGGTCGGGTATTATCGAATTGTTCGGTTGGTCTCTCCTTGGCATCGCCTGTCGCGGAGCGTGCAATGTTGCACGCTCCATGTTCGCGCACGTACCCACTACCGGGAGCAGTTGCAGGAGCGCGGAGCGCTGCTGGAGCGCGAACATAATGGATACCCACCTTTAAACTCATAAGTGGGAACACTTATTGTGACGGACGGGAAACTACGGAACCCTACACTGAGCGTGGCCCAACACGCTCTTGGCCGGTTTTTATTTAATAATGTATAACTGTTATAATTTCCAGATAAACCGGAACGTTAGTAGCACATAGCCCGGAAAGCTAACAATTTATTACTTTTCCTAAATATTGGCTGCAACTGGCATTCATATCCCGGATTCGCAAGAGTAGTGCAGCTCGGCAGGCTTGGAGCATTGTTAAAAATAGCATCTCTGTCTTAAGCATTACTTATCCATAAATTAAAATCGTTAACATGGTTTCGAACCTCATAAATATTTTCGTACAAAGACGGAGGAAGAATATTAACCGCTATAAATTTTATACTGCACGGTAGCTCGACATGACTGAGTTTGCTCTTAGTGTACATGCGCCTTCTAGACTATTGAAGGTTGCAGGCAGTGAGATAGCGGGAGCGATTTTTTAGTGCAACGTTTAATATAGCTTCCATAAATATAAATATAAACTTTTTTTTTACTCAATATACATTATAAATAATACAAATTGAAAGTCACTTTTATGTTTATTTTCTCACTGGCTCGAAAAATACGTCTGTCCTGGGAAGAACCAGCATGAAATCCAGCGGGACTTATTTAGAAAAAAAAGAACAGCTCATTTGAAATAAATCCACACGACAAGAAGAAAATATTATTATTATTAGTATCTTCCTGAAAATAATAATATATACGTAATAAGTAACTGCGATTGCCAAGCCAAGCATGGAAACTATGGCAAAATCCCCCCCATTGAGCAATCTATCAAAGGGTTATGTTAAGTTAATGTTAAGTTAGTTAGTAGGTTATGTTAAGTTAATATTAAGTTGAATTTATAGGCCGTATTGGATAATAAAATTGACCTTCAGTTATCTATGAAATATTAAATTAATAATGTATCTAAGTCACGTATGCGGCTCTATATCATACATCCGAGAACTATGAAAGATACGCTGAGCACAGCTACTGGGTTAAAATAAAGTAAAAAAAAGATCAAAAGATTTGACTTAATCACAACGTAATGATTTGTTATATTTACGTGAACACAACACGTTCATTGCTGTGTTCCAGAAGGATGCAGACATCGTCATCATCATTAAAGCCCAGTGCATTAACCATGGTGTATGACCATAGGCACTGCAAAGTACCTGAAACGTCAGGAATTAAAAATAAATATGATATGGTTAACACTCGCTGTAAATTTCATAGTAAGCGAGCAAACCGAGTTCGATCCCCGCCGGCACCAATTAAATTGTCAATTGCAATTTTAAGTGCTGATTTACCACTTGCTCGGCGGTGAAGGAAAACATTGTGAGAAAACATGCTCTCAGAAATGAGTGGAGGCCTGTGCCCAGGAGTGAGACGTATATATAGGTTGTAACTTTTAATTTTCTAAAATAAAAGGCGATAAAATCCGGAAAAATGGTTTCATTCAATTAAATCATACGCAATCATAACGCTTGGAGCATGGACGCTGTTCTAGTCAGATTATGTGTACAAATAGACTTGTTCTAAGCATTTTCATTAAGAATTCGGTAAGAGTTAAAGATGTTAAAAATTAAATAGCTAAAATACAGAATGTAGTTCAAAGAGCGCCTCCGCCCTCCTTCAATGAAGTGCACTATTTCCACACGTCACAACACCACAACACTAGAAAAACACACCAACGTCGATAATACGACACCTATTTCGTCTAATTCTAAATATGCATCAGAAGAAGAAATAAACTGTGCGATGTTTGACCGCTAAATGCATATTAAAAATCATTTCATAACACTTAATAATATAATCTTAATTAAAATAATTAAAAATAATAATAATCATAAATCAAGTTTACAAATAATGCAAATCCACTATAGTTTCATTATTTATTATGTTATCCTAAAACTTAATTATTTTAGACTTATTCTATTAGATTCTTAGCGATACTACATTCTTTGTGAACTGTGAACTACCGCGTACTGTACTGTGTGTAGAACTGTGGTGATACATCAAAATATAATTTATAGAAATTATTTTTTAATGTAAATACGTTATTATTATAAATAAAAATAAAATTAAACAACAAGTTCATACTGACAAAAAGAAATTGAATCCGCCATTCTTCAGCACGCAAAAGCGACCTAACAGCAGGGGTCAGATGGAGCGTGGGTGAGTCTGGGCGCACCTAAAATGGTTACACTTGTGCCGATACGTGCCACACGCCCGCAGGTATACGCGGTAGTGACTAAGTCAGCATATTTCTTTGTTGACGAATGTAAATGTAGATACATATAATATGTCAAAGTCAGATCGTAGAATAGGGCAGATCATGATGTGTCTGGTCATTTCATGACACGTCACCAATTATTTGGCCGATAATATATTCACTATATTACTTTGTGCCTAACTTATAGAAATGTCCAAACAATCTACTGTCACTGGTATTACTTGATAGGTGTTTCCGTATTTTGCAAAGTCAATATAAGTCATAGTTATATATTATCGGCTAAATCATTAAATTCTCAGGTAGATTACAATCTGTCTAATTCCACGATCGATCTACGATATACGATATTAAGCCGAATAGCCGATTTTAAATCTTCTTGTAATATATTTATAAAATACCATAAACGTCTACAAAAAATGTCGCAACAAAGTATATATATTAATTATCATAACGTCACTTACGGTAGGCAGGGAAGCAACAAACTCGACGTGACTAAACTCTTCGCCACTAGCCTGCGTGGGGCTCTGCCACCAAGTAGCTGGATCTCCATCCACAGCAAATGTTGCAAGGTGTCGCCTGGATGGGGAGCCATCGAGACCTTCGCATACGTCGCACACTACGCCACGCCTGTTGATTTGCAAATATGATTAAAACTATTAATCTATGCTTGAAAATTGTATCAAATTCACAACTTTTTCTTTATATATTACTACACCTTCACACAGTGTAATCTGCTGTTAGATGAACGAGGCTCTGACCACCAATAGATGATGGAAAATATTTGAAAACTATTGAACACAAATTTGGTGTGTATGGGCAATTCTTTCACAAAATAATTGCATGACGGCATTCTCTTAAAGATACCTTTGTACAGTAATAAACTCAAAAAGAATGTTGATGCAATTGTAAAAAAAAAAAAAACCAAGAAAAACTTTTGGTAAATCCAAATGTGCATGCCTTAACCACTCATGTTATACGTCAATTTTTTTAAAGTGTCTTAAATACACACAAAATTTCACAAATCACCTTTTTACTGTCATTACTAACTTTCCGATAATTTTATGTCAAACATCAATACAAACAGTTTTGAAAATCCAAAAGTGCACGACTCATAATGTTCATATGATCGTGAAAAAATGTAGAAGAAATTCTCAATCGACAATAGAAAATATTTTTTCAATTACCTATGTTATTTTATTGTTATTGAGATTCAAAACATTTTTTATTATTGTTAATTGAAAAACCTTTTAAGAGAATTATCTTAAAACGATTAGAAATTAACTTTAATTTTTAGGTATTTATTGTACTCAGGCATTATCGTAAAAACTAATCTTTTTTATCTGACTCATTAATGTTTTTTCTCATCAACTTTATTTTTTTTTAAAAATTTTCATCTAGTCATAACCAGTATTTTAATTTATCATTCACCAAAGTTCACCATCTCCTACCAATATATTGTAATGAAAAACTGTGATTATATAAATAATAATAATATCTTACCTTGGTCAACTATGTATAAAATTTATTTTTTTCAATATTTTGTATTTCATATACAAGAGCCGCTGTAATCCACCGACAACGGCGGCCAAGCCCGCAGTGAGTCAAAGTATATCTGCTGTATTTAGCAAAATATAACAATATTGTTACATGGCTGCGCCAACACCGAAAATTTCGGATTTTCTCAGGCGAAAAAAATTAGTTATAACTAAACAAAATAAAATCAAAAAGCCATTTACATTCCATGGCTTCCCACAGGGTAGATGAATAGATTAAAAATAGATTGAGTGAACCAATTGATATTTTTAAAAGTTATCGTATTTACCCCTCCATGCGGACGTGATAAATCTACACAATAAGCTAATAAAACCACTGTAAAAATAGCAATTAATCGATTTAAAAATAAATATAATTAGTTCAAAGATCATTTATCTTTCTGAAATTGTAATTTTTATATCACGTATGTGTTCAAATTGATTGTTAGATACGATTTCACGCGACAAAACCTTCGATTTTTGATTTTTAGGCGCTAGTAAAACATACCTACCTACGCGCTTTGCGCTTAAGGCACGCAATACATTCATGTAAGAAGTATTTCATGAAGTGGTACCAAGAAGTAGTTCAGAAAATAGGCTGTACCATATCTTCAGGATATAATACACCTTACATGTACGTGGTAGAGTCACGCTGGAGCACGGATGGGTAAACGGGACCGGGAAAAGACCACGCTTGCACAGAACAACGGCGAAAAATAGCAGCATAATGCTGGTGAGTTCGTGTAATGACGAAAATTGGACACCTTTTCCTTATAGAGGGTGTATGTCTATCACCCACAGCATCCACTTACCATCAAGAGACTATATGCTCGTTTGTAGCCCATACCTCTATAAAAATGAAGCTTATATTATACATGCCTCTATCAGCAGTTATAACATGTGTGCTAAAGATGTCAGTACTTTGAATTTAATATTTCTCAGATGACTGTCTTGTTAAAACTTAATTTTTAATATTTTATCCAACGTCTTATTTTCGTTTTGTTGAATGAGTCCATCCCTAAGAAGTTATCGAACTAATTCCTACAATAGATAGCGAAAATAAATATTCGATAAGAAAAAGAACAAAATTGATAAACGACTTACTTTCCAGGCGTATCCCGGCAAAATTCCTCCGCACCATTATCGCCACAAGTAGCATTGGCTGCTACTACGGAGAAAGTCCCGACGTCCAGCGGTACGGGATACAAACCTTCGGCGTCTCTCGTCAGTGTCACCTCACTTAATGTAGTACTGCTGAGGCGATCAAGCACAGCGCGACCTGTTAATAAAACATATTATAATATGAAACAATACCAACAATAATAATAATAATAATGTCCTCCAGACCGAATTTTGGTCATGGCGGCCTGCCTCAACGGAGGCTAGCCATCGGCGCAGGACAGGATCATATTGCCCAAGTGAATGCGCAAGCACAGGTGCACTCTCTATTCCCTCACTCTCATAATCCGATGGGACGGTAAACCGAAACGACCGGCGAGAGACCGAGACTCCGGGCAACTGCTGATTTCTTGACGGAAAAACTCAATAATTAACTCTTTGGTCCGACCCGGGATTCGAACCCAGGTCCTCAACATCAGCAGTTGCACTACTACAACCACTAAACCAACGATACATGTCATGAGAAGGGCTACAGTAGTGATGATTATTACAGCCTTTTAAGATTTTTACTTTTTAAACCAGTAAGTTTTTAACTTTTACCACTGGTTCGGAAAACAACCTTTGTGCTGTGATGAATCAGCAAGAAACGCAGTGGGACTTTTTTTTACAAGTAAACTATACAATAAGAAAGTTTCTACAAACAATTTACAAAACCTATTTAAGAAACAGCTTGGAAGAGACCATCTCAGTTTGCAAGGTTTATTATCAACCAAGTATTCAATAAAGTTTCCATTTACCAAATACCAAGACATGCTACGGAAAGATGTATCAATGTTTTCTTAATCAACATCCTGAGATAATTATGACGGTTATCTGTTGAACATAGTCCTCGCTTATTAAATAAAAGATTGGTTTTAAATAAATACTTGGCAGCAAAACAAGGGGAAAATTAAAAATTTTGTACAACTGACTTCAATATGAATAAAATGAGAACATCTTCAATGAAGTCGAAGCCAATTAAATACGCATTATCAAACATAACTCAAAAACTACGGGTCAGATCTTGATTAAATTTATATGTAGAAGCAACAGCCTTCAAATAAAAATAAAAAATCAAAATCAAAATAGGTTCACTTAGAAAAAAGTTTTGAGGTAACATACATAAAAATAAAGTCGAATTTAGAACCTCCTTAGAAGACGAGGCAAAAATATTTATCATCATCATCATCATCATTACAGCCCTTCACAAGTCCACTGCTGAACATAGGCCTGCCCCAAGTAATGCCACAAAGTACGGTCCTGAGCCACCTGCATCCATCGACTTCCTGCATATCTTACCAGGTCGTCACTCCATCTAGTGGGGGATCGCCCTACACTACGCCTACCGGTACGAGGCTGCCACTCGAGAACCTTTTTTCCCCATCGGTTATCGGTTCTTCGAGCTATATGGCCGGCCCATTGCCACTTCAGCTTACTAATCCGTTGGGCTATGTCAGTCACTCCGGTTTTACTGCGGATATCCTCATTTTTGAGTCTATCACGCAGAGAAACTCCGAGCATAGCCCTCTCCATAGCTCGCTGAGCGACCTTGAGCGTCCTCATACGGCCAGCAGTGAAGGAACACGTCTCAGATCCGTAAGTCATCACTGGCAACACGCACTGGTTGTACACTTTAGTTTTCAGAGATTGAGGTATACCTGACGAGAAGATGTGTCGTAATTTCCCGAACGCTGCCCAGCCGAGTTGAATCCGTCGATTGATCTCTCGGTCGAAGTTGGACTTACCTAGTCGGACTATTTGTCCCAGGTAAACGTATTCGTCAACAACTTCGAGCATAGTGCTCCCAACAACTACCGGCATAGGTGTGACATGGACATTAGACATGATCTTTGTTTTGTCCATGTTCATCTTAAGACCTATCCGTTGGGAGACATTGAGGTCATTGAGCATAGTGCTTAGGTCCTCCAGCGATTCTGCCATAAGGACTATATCGTCGGCAAATCGAAGGTGAGTGATGTACTCGCCACTGATGTTAATACCGTATCCTTTCCAGTCCAGTAGCTTGAAAACGTCTTCCAATGCAGCGGTGAAGAGTTTCGGGGATATAACGTCACCCTGTCTTACACCTCTCTGCAGTTGGATAGGTTTCGAACTCTGGTTCTGTACTCGGATAGCAATCGTAGCTCTACTGTACAAACACTTCAGCACTTCGATATACCGATAGTCAACTTGGCACCGCTGAAGGGACTGTAACACCGCCCAAATTCCGACGGAATCAAAGGCTTTCTCATAGTCCACATACGCCAGGCAAAGTAGCAGATTGTACTCTTCGGACTTCTGTATAATCTGCCGCAGGGTATGTATGTGGTCTATGGTACTGAAGCCTTTTCGGAAACCGGCTTGTTCGGGAGGCTGGAAGTCTTCGAGTCTGCGTGCGAGACGATTCGTAATGACTCTCGAAAACAGCACGAAGGGATATCGGTCTGTAGTTCTTCAAGAGGGCGTTGTCACCTTTTTGAAGAACTAGACCACCGTACTTCTGCTCCACGCCTCCGGAGTAGTGCCACCATGGAGGACGGAATTGAAAAGCTTCTGAAGGACTTCAAGTACCGGTGTTCCACCCGCTTTCAGAAGCTCCGCTGTAATTCCATCCCCGCCTGGAGCCCTGCTGTTTTTTAGGTGCTGGAGAGCCATTCTAATCTCGCTCAGACTGACGTTCGGGATATCATCGGAATAGTGTCGGATAAGACTTGCTCTTGGATCGTTACTCACACTTGCGTGTGGCTATAACGATGATGTGTACAGCTGCCCACAGAACCTCTCAATCTCACTCAAAATCTCAGGTGTCCCGGAAACGATGCTGCCACACTCAGTCTTCAGCTTTGACAGTTGGCTCTTTCTGGCAGACAGATCTCTGGCAAAGACTTTGGAGCCCTGGTTCCGCTTCTTTAATACGAGGAGTATTAAAGTTGCGTAAGTCTCGCCGCATACATTTGGAGATCTGTCTGTTTAGTTGCCTGTATGCTGTCAAACTTGTTGACGATTGCAGCCTCATCTCCTGTCTAACAGCCATGAGATTAAGAGTGTGATCGGAGAGTTTTTGTGTTCTTCTGCGGCGGGTCTTGCAGAACTTAGCTACGACCGCAAGAACAGTTTCCACGAGCTTGTCATTCATATCGTCCACTGCATTGCAATCTTCTAGGCACTGAAGGCGGTTACGTAACTCGAGCAGAAAGTTTTCGGGATTCTGGATTAGAGCACGAGGGGGACGGAGCGTTGACTTCATTAGACGAGACCTCTCCAACTTAACGTTTAGGTTCAGTCTGCCTCTAACCATTCGGTGATCGCTGCCGGTTTTCACCTTTGCGATCACTGAGACATCACTTAAAAGTTGGCGTTTGGTCGTCGTAATGAAGTCAATCTCATTTTTAGTCGAACCTTCGGGGCTCGACCAGGTCCTTCTGTGGCGCCGCTTCTGGAAGAAAGAGTTCATCATAAAAAGTCCCTCTTTCTCCATGAAGTCGGCCAGCTGCTGGCCCCTTGGGTTCCGTTGCCCTACCCCAAATTTCCCTACTTTCAGCTCACCGTTCTTTCTTGTGCCCAGTCTTGCGTTGAAGTCTCCCATCAACACCGTGTATTGGGTTTTGGAGGAATGCATGGCTGTCGAAATATCCTCATACATTTCCTCCACCTCCTCATCGGGATGTTCCGACGTTGGCGCGTAAACCTGTATGACCTTCAGCGAATACCGTTTGGTGATTCTGAGTATAAGGTACGCAACACTCGTCGATACACTCCCAATCTTTAAAACGTGATTATCGAGAGACCTGTGGACGATAAATCCGACATATCCTTGGGACAGATGGTCGCCCTCCCGGTGATAGAACAAGTTGCCGGATTCGAGAATCACCGTGTCCTCCCCCCTCTCTTCGGACCTCGGATAATCCTATAATATTCCAGCGCAACTTGTCTATCTCTTCTTCCAGCTCCAGGATCTTCTCGTCAGTCCTCAGGGTACGTGCGTTAAATGTTGCCAGGTCGAGTCGTCGTAGGTGGCAACCGAACCTCCACCGGAGATTCTTAGCAACCCTGCCCCGCCGTTACCATGGTCGCCACCATAGCCAGGAATAGCGGGGCCGACGGGGACTGGGGGCCATTTATTTGTGTAATTCTTCATGGGGGGTATATTGCCATAGTTGTCACGCTTGGCGAGCGGGTTGGCAACCGCAGTTTTTTTTGTACAGTTGCTGTTATCAGGAAGATGCTGCTGCCCATCTCCTGCCTGCTTCCCTCTGTTGCCTTTTACGACACCCACGGGAAGTTATGGGGTAGTGGATATTCTTAACCGCCACTACACGGCTAAAATATATATATATATATATATATATATATATATATATATATATATATATATACTAACTACTTAAATGTCGTTGCAACGAGACCAATAGCGCGATTTCTGATGTAGGAAAAAGACAAATTATAATTATTGGATTAAAAACGTATAAAGGTCCAAGGTGAATATGTTGAAAAGCAAAAATATATTGTGAGTGGTTTCTGATGTTAGCGCTGTTAGCCTCTTGGCTTTTACAACTTTATAGGTCTCAGGGCCCGTTTATACAACATGTAACAAAAACCCTGTGGTTCCCGTTAACTGTGTTATCAGAAGAAGTATTCAAGCGTATAGAATTTTTTTTTTCAAACACCCATACTATTCGATGAAAGGAGGTGCATTTTCTCAAGGTGTCGCCTTAATTTCCGTACCCGCAATACAACCTTGTTACAGACTCCCTCCCCGAAACTCTGTTCTCTCGCGACTCGCTCCCACGTACAGTTTGGACACATTGACATCTTTGCGAATTCTAAGGTTTTGTTTAGGCATGACATCATGAAAACCATTAAGGAGCATAGCAGATGCAGTTAAAACCATATATTCTCTTTTCTTTTTTTTATAAATGTTTTTTTTCAGCCAGTATAATTAATCAAAATAAGTTATTTTATTAATACTTAATTACTTTTATTATGTTAATATATTTGTATTATTTATATTCGTACATCTGCACATATATATATATATATATATATATATATATATATATATATATATATATATATATATATATGTGTGTGTGTGTTGTGTGTGTGTGTGTGTGTGTGTGTGTGTATGCATATGCATTTATGTAATATATATTATCAATCTACCAGGCCCTCCAAAAATCTCAACTTATCTGTAAGCTTGTGACCACCCTCGTTACACTAAATTGCTTATGATTTGTCTTTTGGATTGTTTTTATTTGTATTTCTTCCAACAACAATATACTATCAAGCAATATAAGGGAGACCTGTTATTGGCCATACATTTAGTTTGTTACATTAATGTTAAATATTTTCTGTATACGCTGTTGGTTTTCGAAGTAAATAAATAAATAAATCTCCATTCCGTGAATTTATTTACCTTCCATCTTATATGGACTCCTTGACATTAAGTTATTTTCTATATTAAAATTTTGGTACATTTTATTAAAAAAAATTGGACGTCTTTTTGCTTAGAATAATAATTAATTATACATATTATATATAGCCTGAGTAATTTTGTATTACACTTAACTCTAACAAGTAATCTGCTTTTCCTTATAAAAATGAAACTATAGCACTGAAATGTGACTCATATGCAGTTTTAGTACCACCATTATTTGTTGCATACTTATTTTACGGGATACAAGATAACAGATATTGTAGAATTTTAATCTGATAGATCCGTCGCTGATCGTCGCCGCGGGAGGCCAGAGGGCTGGTTCTTTTCTCACCCAAATTGCGTCCAGTTCTATTATTTATTCTGTGCCCAAGGGATTTATATAGCCATTCACTGATGGCACCCAGCCAGCGTTCTTGACACTATATAATAATTTTAAACATTGTATTGTAATTTTAGTTTTTTAACAGTATAAGTATGGTAAACGAGCACACAGTCCACCTGATGGTAAGTGGTTGCTGTGGCCCGTAGACGTCTACATCTATCCTCGATAACGAATCAAAATGCAGATGCGTTGTCACCCGTGAGGACTAAGATGGAATGCCTCGTTTCCAGTAAAAAGGGTCTCCGGTTCTCTACACTTACCATACGAAACACAGCAGCATTAAGCTGCTATTTTACGCTGGTATTCTGTGAGAGCGTGGTCCTTCCCCGACTGAGCTGACCCATCCGTGCCACAACTATGATAGCTGAAGCGTTGCTCTACCACGTAATTTTTTATCTTTTCGGTAGTTTTGTTTATATATATAAATAAAATTGATGTGTCTGTCTGTATTTTCCGAAGTACCTGAAGGGGACATGAGCAGTGTTGCCGTCTCAGCGCATTTGGCGCTAGATCTAGTGCAATTCTAGGGTCTGTAGCGCTTTTTTAAATATCTACGTCCTGAAAATATCTAGTAGATTAGTAGACTGGATATTTTTAGCACGTAGATACTTAAAAAAAGCGCTATACACCCTGTAATTGGACTAGATCTAGCGCCAAATACGCTGAAACGGCAACACTGGGCCGTCTGTCTAACTGGTTATCTTTCTGTTTGACTGCCTGTCTATCTGACAGTCTGTCTATATGACTGTCCGTCCAAGTTAATCATGGAATGTCTGAACCGATTGTAACGAAAATTCACGAACATATAGAGAGTAATTCTAGAAGTGATGTAGGCTATATGTTCTCCAAAAGCTTAGAGAATAGAGATAAAAAAACGTATTACTGATTCTTTGATTATCTTAAATATTTATAGATCTTATCCTAACTGGGCGGGTCGCTAGTTAATTGAAGTAAGAGAAATGTTATATAATCAGCGCTAACAATTTAAACGCTTTTAATTATTATTTAGTACTAAATTTTATTAAATTTACCGTTCTTATGAAGGATATATAAATATTTTAGTCAACAGCTATGATCATCTATAAACTATGATCTATACGTGGTAGAGTCACGCTGCAGCTATGTTATGGTTGTAGTACGAATGTGTCGGCTCGACCGGGGAAGTACCGCAATCTCACAGAATACCAAAGTGAAATTGTAGCTTAATGCTGTTGTGTTTCGTATTGTGAATGTAAGGAACCGGGGACCCTTTTTACTGGGAACGAGGTATTCCATCTTAGTCCTCAGGGGCGACAACGCATCTGCATTTTGAATCTTAATCGAGGATATATGTCTATGGGCCACAGCATCCACTTACCATTAGGTGGACTGTGTGCTCATTTGTCACCCTTACTCCAAAAAAAAAACTAAGTGCATATTGGTCACACAAAAATCAACACCATAACTGTCTAAAAGTTCGTAAAAAATTATTTCAAGAGAGTCTATCAACAAACGTTACATGTTAATTTCTAAAATGTGCGTATAATTATTTGAACTGCATATCTCACTATCGCGTGTGTTATTAAGGCATTGACACCTCAAAGTTAACTACGGTCCCACGACGCGATGGCAACTCGATAATTGAGTAAGACTTGTACCACCGCATTCATTATATCATTAACATACGCGTGCTTAACTTTACAACTTATTACTACACTACGTTGGTCCATTGGTCGACGCGATATCTTATCATAAGTCAATATAGAGTATAAGGGTTCGAATTCCGCGTCGAGCCAAAATCTTTATACGTGGTATAGCTATGCTGCAGCTATATTATAGTTGTAGCACGAATGGGTCGGCTCGACCAAGGCAGGACCACGTTCTCACAGAATCCCAGCGTAAAATAGCAGCTTAATGCTGCTGTGTATGTTCGTATGTGTGTGTAGAGATTCGGAGACCCTATCCTTACCGGAAACGAAGTACTCAGGAGTGACAAAGCATCTGCATTTTGATACTTAATCGAGGATAAATGTAGATGTCTATGGGATACAGCATCCACTTACCATCAGGTGGACTGTGTGCTCGTGACCCCTTATTCTATAAAAAAAATCTGTTAGTGGGTTTTTTTTTTGACAAGGAATTCTCAGTAGCCGCGTAGTCAGGAAAATGGCAGTGTTTCACCCCGGTGCCTCGAAAAACACATAGGTAACGCCATTGGTTCTGCGCCTGATTTCTCTCCGATTGTGTCGCGCAGATCGCCGTGTCGATTTGAATAAAAAATATTTTATTTATATGATAGGGTGACAAACGAGCACACATTCTACCTGATGCTAAGTGGTTGCTGTGGCCTATAGACATCTACACCTATCCTCGATTACGAATAAAAATGCAGATGCGTTATCACCCACGAAGAACAAGATGGAATGCCTCGTTTTCAGTAAAAGGGGTCGCCGGTTCTCTACAATCACCATACGCAACACAGCAGAGTTAAGCTACTACTTTACTTTATTTATTCATTTTTTTAAGAATTGTTTTAATAAAAATTACACTTACGGAAGTTTTTATAGCTCGTTGAATTCCATCCGGACACAATCAGATAAATAATTTCGAATATTTGAATAGAATATTACTTCCACCAAATTGCACAGAAAGGTCCCGTAAAAATGATTACTTTAGAAAATAATTTTTACGCGATTACTGTATTGAATAAGCTAATAGTAATTATGTGTTTAATTTAATTTTCTTTGGGCGAATACTTGAATTTTTGGGCGCTTTACAACACTCGATTTGTCACGAGTAGACCTAGGTGTTTCACGTCTTGTTCTCAGTTACATGCTAATCTTGATAAAGGGAGGGCTGGGCTACCATTTGCTTGGGATCCTATAATTAACAAAATTAAATCTAAACCAAAGCTTATTTCTGTAAGACTTCAAGATACTGGTTAAAATTAAACGTGATAACACTAGTTTTATACAAAGTGTACTCCTGTGCTCAGTTTCTTCAGTGACAACAAAGTAAGTTGAAATGACCACGAAAGAATCACTAGAAATTAGTTTTATATATATTTTTTGTAGTAAAATTAATAAAGATATTGATTATTTAATAAATACATTTAACTCAATATTGTACACCTTTAATAATAATAATGTCCTCCAGACTGAATTTCGGTCACGGTGGCCAGACTCAACGAAGACTAGCTGTTCTGTGTGCAGGACAGGATTATAGTGCCCAAGTGTATGCGCAAGCACAGGTGCACTCTCTATTCCCTCACTCTCATAATCCGATGGGAGGGTAAACCGACACGACCAGAGAGAGATCAGGCGCAGGACCAATAGCTTTACGTGCTTTCCGAGGCACGGGGGTGAGATACTATGGAGCACAAATGTACATAAAAATATTTTAAAGATTTTACCTGTAGTCATGCAACCATAGAATACTTTATGTATGTATTATGATATTCTTTGCACGCAACAAATACTTTTGATTTGGTTTGATTTAATTTCCTACTTTCGATCGTTCCATTCTTAACTGAGGATAGATCTAGTCGTATTTGGGCCACAACATCTATTTACCACACCATTAATCAGCTGGACTATGTGCTCAGTTGTCAACGTTACCTTAAAAAGTAAAACTTATCACTTAACGTGCTAATTTTAAGCCGAGTTGACAGATAAACCGCGGCGCGTGCAAGAATTAACATATTTAAAAAAAACTTAAGTGCTCAGTTAAACGCTAACCGAATACCCCTGCCCTACCCACGAATCGTTCTATCCGCACGACGTCAACATTCTTAATTCGTGCTCAGCGAATGCAGTCAACGGTGATGTTACCGCCATGTTTGTGAAGGTAATAAATTATGCAAGTAGCTAAGAAATGTGTGACCAACGAAGAAAGACCAAAAACAAAAAATAAATCATCATTTCGTAATACTGTTTCTTACGATTTGTGAAAGGGTTTATAAGGTCCGTTAAATTACAATGATTAGTGCTATGAAATTAGATTTGTTTTAAACTGTAGTGATAAACGAAATTAGTTATTTCAAATGGGTACTGCAACCAACTTCAATGAAAGAAGCTAAAGATGCGCTGTCACCTCTGAGGACTACGATAAAATAGCTCGCAGCCTGTACTGGTTACCTGACCAGATCACAGCAGTGCACTGGAAGGCCAGAAGAGGAGTTCTAACACCTATTGATGCCAGACTATGGGTAATGTCAGCAAAATCTTATAACTTATTGGGCTTATTTCGGTACCCATATAGAAATATTACAAAAAATATTTTATGTCAGTTTGGAAGCTACCAGTGGAATCTGCCAGTGTCAAATATAAGTCCTATTTTTTTTTTTTTATATATATATCATCATCATTACAGCCCTTCACAACGCCACTGCTGAACATAGGCCTCCCCCATTGCCACAAAGCACGGTCCTGAGCCGTCACCATCCATCGACTTCCTGCATGTCTTACCAGGTCGGTGCTTTTACAGAATAGCTATGTAAATAACAAAAACTACAAATCATCATCATTGCAATCCTGCTAACTGCTGAACGTAATCCTACAAAACGGGCTGATTTAATTCATTAAATAACTCAAAATGTTAAATTATGTTCACGATATACTCGAATTTCCTAACAGCATATTTGTATTTTTGACGATACATATCCCGTTGTCAAGTTATTT